CATTCACTACACTGGTTCCTACACTACCAATCTTGCATTCATCTTCTGTGTTTTGCTGTATCCTGAATCTCTTAAGCTGGGAACAAAAAAAAACAAAAAACAACTAAATAAACCCCAGGTAATAGTTCTGGCAATTGCCTACCTGATCACCTTTCATTATCTTCTTTGCTTTTGTATTTAGATAATAATCTCCCCATAAAGTCTTCAGCAGCACTGCAGGCTTGATTCCAATCTTTTGGCTGTACAGTTTTGCAAAATGCTCAATGCTGAAAGCAAACAAAATGCATCTTGATTGAAGTGTAATGCTGTTTACGTGTGCTTATCAGCCTAAGCAAGCGACAGCTCACACAAATCTCATGACCTTGTTTTGCTCCCTTTTTCTTTCCCCTGCCTCGCCTTCACGTTAGCTCCTGTTTTTTCATATTTACACCTACAAAAACATTCAATGGCAACAGCTCAAACATGCCAGCAGTATTTGTATGTTTTTGTTTTAAGTCAGTTTGAAGGCTGAACTTGTTTTAACTAAACAAACACTTGTACAATCTCTTGAGAAAAAATATCAAATACAGTACAAAAGTTTTCAGTATTTAAAGTCACATCCCTCTAACTTATCCTAAAGAGGTACTGCTATACATTTAACTGTGACCAGAATGGTTAGAATTAAAAATCAAATATTTTTTCTAGTCATACTTTAGCCATCCAATGATGGCAATTATTTTCTATTTTAAGCACTTCTTAAAGCAGTGTTCCAAATAGCAACATGTCTAACCCACAAAACAACACAAATTTTAAGGGGAGGGAATACAAGCACTGTAAACTTATGAAAGTCTTAAGTCAGAATATGAACGCTTTCCTTAGTAGATGTGAAAATGGATTAGAACTACATGCAGAGTACTGGGTAATTTGCAGTTTACGTTTTGTTTTGTAAGCCTGCAAAAGGAAATATAGGCAAATAAAAACTAGCACTTTGGTTCTGAGAAGTTGAAAGGTGATCTGGGTTTAATATTACCATTCTAGGTATGTTGTCAGACAACAATACACCAAGATGCAAAAGTTTGAAGAGTTTTTTTCAGTTTCCTTCACTGCAGTGATAAGAGCTCAAGTTAAGACTAAAACCGTACCAAATAATGAAATCCAAATTAAAGCCTGAGCTTGGCTTACGAATGCCAGAGTTTAAGGTTTTACAACAGCTAAGAAATGTATTGGATTACCAGGTGAATCTCTTTTAATTACAGACTCGTGCTAAAGCTGAGGACTCCACCTTGTGGCCAGCCAGAACAGAGAGCGTCATCCTAACGATAGCATGCTGCCCTCCAAAACTGGTTGCTGAGAACAGGACTGCAAAAACAGAACTTAGCACACACTCAGATCAGTCACCCTGCTAATCCTGTGAAATTGTTCTATCCTCACATTCTTAGTTTCACTTCAGTCATAGTGTTTCCAACTGTGTAGTGTTAATATATATTAACATACATATATTAACAATATATATGTGTATATGATGTTGCATATCACAGGGAAAGAAAAATCACAAGTAGGAAGGAACCCAAAATACTTCAAATCTGAGGTTACCTGCAGCAAACACATATTAAAAAAAAGGCAACAAATTAAACTTCATACCTACCCAAAACCCCAGCCATCAATTGCACTGGCAAATACCACATTTCCATGGTCTGGAGAAAAATAGAGGTGGGAATCATCAGTATCTTCCAATCCAGCACTCCAGTCATAAATTTGATCTCCAGCTGCTGTGTCAGAACTACTTTCACTTTCGGCTTCTTTTTCAGCTCTTTCTTCTAAGACTTTTGAGGTAAAGAGTGATCCAGTGACTGCATTTATCTGCGAAAGGGCAGGCAAAAATACCCAAAGATCTGTATACTCCTTCACAGCACTTGTAATTAAAACACAGTTCCCCCCACCCTCCAAAACACATAGGTTTTTGGTTTTTCTTTTTTAAGAACTTTGTGCACTTATGATTCATTCTGCAATCTAAAACACAGACCTCGTGTATCTAACCCTGTCAATCTGATGACAGTGGGAGTTTGACAGACTAACATTTCAGCTTACAGTAGGTTTTCTGATTCACTCAGTCATGTCAGGATTAAATCAGCTATAGAATATCACCCAGTGTTTCTCAGAAGAAGCAATGATGAAATATAAACACATAAATGCCAACAAACAACAACAGAGGGCAAAGGGAAACAATGCAGGTAACTGTTGAAGGAGCTCCGAAAATAGTCTGAAGGCAGTTTACCTTACAACTGAGAAGAGTTAACTTCACTCTGGCATAAATCATTATCAACAACAGTCTAAAGATATTTGTCTGGCCTCAAAGGAGCTCAGGCAATTTATCAGGGTAAGACATACAGCATGTTATTTCTAAAAGCAAAGGGATTTCCACGATGCCTTGTCCAGTGACATTTCAGTCTCTTTTCTCCATCAAAGACACTCAGAATGAGCCTTATATCATTGACTCATTTTCTTTTCAGTTGGTTAAATGAGACAAGAAGTCCCAGCGCTCTGTTCCACAATGTAAGGAAAATTGGTTTTGTTGCAGTTATAAGCCACTGAAAACCACAATCTCTCTCAATACAAGAATGGAGACAAGCCGGGGGGGAACTCACAACCAAGTCTGCTGTGTGAACATGACACTAAAACAAGAATACCTGTTCTAAAATATTCTTAAGGTGCATGTATGCCTCCTGAGGGGTTAACTTCAGCTCCACAATCAAGCGATCAATTTTATTTATCACCAATACCGGACGAATATTTTCTAGCCATGCCTGCCGTAGAACTGCTTGAGTCTATTAAGAAAGAAAACAGTTTAAAAGAAAGCCCATTACAGAAAGCTTGATACCACAAGAGACAGAATGTTCCATGGGGATAATTATTACAGAATTCTACAGAAAAAATTTTTACAGCTAAAAAGCCCACCAAACTAACCCACATTCCTATAAAAATCATTAAAAAAATATATCATTATTTTGCATAATTCTTCCATTTTCAATACTCTAAAAGCACACAACAATATTAAATAATTTGCTTCAGACATTGACTTTTTCTCTACACAAATATTCTATTACCAGAAATATTACACACAGTTTTTCAACCCTACACCACTACACCCACTTAACAGCTTTACTCAATTTTTCAGCAAAATCAAAAAATAAAATTGCCCTCTTTCAGACCTTGAGTACTTGATCATCCATTACAAGTGTCCAGAACTCCTTACGCCAGCTTAACTTTTATTTCCACATAATATATTCAGACATACGAACAATTTTGATTTGCTTACTCACTCTACACTGTTCTCTTTCACTAATAAGCTTTTTATTTCACCTGTGGACAGACGCCTTCAACAGCATCCACCACTATGATGCAACCATCACAGAGTCGGACAGCAGTAGATACTTCTGAAGAAAAATCCACATGCCCTGGGGAGTCTATTAAATTAATCAGATACTCCTGACCACCTAGGATCAAACAATAAATATTTCAGAACAGTTTCCATAAATATGTAATTTGGCCAGGTTGTTACAGTGCTAAGCTAGTACTGATTTCCAAGGATAAAATTTGCAGTAACCATTAAGCTCAAGAAAAACTTAAACAGGCCCGGAAAACTGCCAGCAACATAGCATCCAGTGGTTTATATATGAGGCAGTTTATCTCGTAACTTTTAAGATGAATTAACTTTATCCCTGCACAAACCCATCATTGTCAGGGAAGTCTAAAGGTACTGTCTGTCTTTAGTACCTTGGTTAACGTTTGGATACATGCCCAAGACTTTGCAGAATCTCGTCTAACACAGAAACATACAATCTACATAGAAAAAGATCTCAACAGTGACGATAGAAAGATGGGAGGAAAAATCCAATAATCAATCAGTTTTATACTTGCTGGCATCAACAACTTACCTTTCTCAAAGTGCAAAGAAATCGCACTGGATTTCATCGTTATCCCTCGGACCTGCTCATCTTCCCTGCTGTCCAGATATCGCAACTGAGGGCAAAAACAGAAGAGGAAATAAATACAGGGAATTATCTTCACGAGTTATCAAATGCTAAAGAGTGTAACTGCACAAAGATAAGGATTAACAAGACTAGGAGGCGGGCTTCCCTTCATCATCACAGTTTTGTTATAGATGAGCTGGGAACTCTACCTTTCCTGCTAAGCGGCTGGAGATTATCCCATTGCTGGATATCAGGCAATCTGCTAGTGTGGTTTTGCCTGAAAGGAAACACAAATTACTAAGTTTAATTACAGAGAACAGAAAACGATGTGACAGCATCACAAACGCTGACACTAGCGCAGAACAGAACCAGAAAATCATTGGAGCTGGAAAGGATTCTATGGTTCTACACATGCACGTATTCCATTTGTGCCAACATTCACCACCACGGAACGTTCAGTTTCAGCTATGACAAGTTATTTCGAAGTTATCTGTCCGTACCGAGACAAAACCAACGCGTATCGGCACACTGCCCGCTCATCAGAACGAGGCGCTGAGTCGCCGCACCGCTCACCGTGATCCACGTGCGCCAGCACACAGATGTTCCTGATGCCGGCAGCCTTTTGCTGGAGTCCCGTCATCTTCCCCACGCTCGTAAGGACCATGGCTGCTTAGTCCTGCGACAGAGGGCAGCGCTCAGCCGGGGCACCGCGCGACGATCGGCGCTCCGCTCGTTACGTAACCGCGCCGGCAGCGGCCCCTCAGAGCGCGGCTCAGGCGGGGCGTCGCGGGCTCGGACACCGCCCGCACGGAGCGGCGACGCTTCCGTCCATTTGCTTTCGGACTCCCGACCCCCACAGCTCACCGGCTCACCCCCAGCTCCCACCGCGGGGCGACGGGCGCCGCCGAGGAGACGCACTCACCGCCACCGCGCTCCGCACCCGGAAGCCCGAGCCGGCTCCTCCTCCGCCGGGCCGTGACGTTGGACGGCGGCCGGCCGAGGCCGATCGCGGGGACGCCGCCGTTGCCACGCGACGGAGCGCCGCCTCGGTCGGAGCGGAGCATGGGGCGGCCGCGGTGCCTGTGCGAGATCTGCACCTGCGGGTAAGAGCCCCGCTGAGGAGCGGCCTGCGGCTGGGAGGCGGGAAACGGATGTTCCGCTGCGCCCGCGCTTGGCTTCGTTTTGTTAAGCGATCTTAGTAAATAGGAGCTGATGTACTTGCGTTTAAGCTCCTGAGCGGATTCGCTCCTCTTAAATGAATTTGCTTGCGTTTAAAATAGGGAAGGGGCAGTCTTTTAGAGCCGGCCTCAGTGCCGCTCTTGGAGTCTGCACCACTACTGAGTTCAATGCAGAAGGGAGCTGTGAGAAAAAAAGACGTGCGGTTCCCAGTGCCATGACTGGCAGTGTGCCCTGGGGAGCATCAGAACGAGCACGGCCAGCGGGGCGAGGAAGGCGGTCCTTTTGGTCCTATGCTCTGCCCCAGGGGCACAGCTACGGTGCTGTGCACAGCCCTGGGCTCCCCGGTTCGAAAGGACAGCGATCTCCTAAAAGGAGTCCAGCTGAGGGATGCAAAGGTGAGGGCCTGGAGCATCACCCTGTGAGAAAGGCTGAGAGACCTGGAGAAGGCTGAGAGGAATCTCGTCACTGTTTACAAATATCTGAAGAGGGGATGTGGTTGGGCTGTTTTTAGTACTGTGCAGTGATAGAACAAGGGGCAATGGGCAAAAACTAGAGCTCAAGAAGTTCTGTACAAACATAAGGAAGAACTTATTTTCTATGAGAGTGATGGAGCACTGGAACAGGCTGCCAAGAGAGGTGGTGGAGCCTCCTTCTGTGGAGACATACATTCAAGACCTGTCTGGATGCTTTCCTATGTAACCTACTGCAGGGAACTGCTTCAGCAGGGGTTGGACTTGATGAGCTCCAGAGGTCTCCTTCAACACCTACAGTTATATTCACAGGGTCACAGAACAATTTGAATAAAACATGCACAAAACATATGGTTTTAAGCAAACATCACTGAAGTTTTTATACTCAGTGAAACTTAAGCTGTTGTTGGGTTAGGCAGCACATTGTTTACTTCAGTGTAGCTATAGAGTTTGTTTTCAGTGGCAGCCTGGTCACTTGGCACTGTTACCTGGATATTGCAATGCACACACCTCTTAGAGATTCTGAGATGAAGGAGACTCCTACAAAATATTAGATGGTCAACTCCATTAAGTTTTCATCAAATATAAGTACTGTTTCATTCAAATATCAAAGTGGAAGGAAACAATCTTTCCTAGCTGGAATTTATTCACAGAAGAAAAAAAAAAAAAAAAAAAACACAGACTACAAATACAAGGGAGGAAAGACAGAACTACATTTAGTTTTCTCTTTACACAGAAGTGGAGAGCCTTCAGAATTCCAGAATGACATTTTTTCCTCACATTATAACATGCATAATCCACTCACTAAGAGCTGAACCTGAGTGTTATTGTTCATACTTCTGGATTGAAGTCTTGAGCCCTTTTAGAAACAAATAATTGTTAAATATTTTTGAGAGTCTATTCAGATCCCTTTTCCTTGGGCTGAATCTCTTCCTGTGCTTATTAAGTGATCTTTTTTCAAAATCAACAATTTTAATGCCAAAAGCCACTGGAAGTGCTCAGCGTGCTCAAAGATCAGTTTACAAAATATACAGTACTTCTTGGATCCAATGCTGGGCACTTCACTATTTTAGCAGCTCTCAGAAGTTCTCTCCTCTTCAGCTCAAGGCTTTAAGACTCTTGCACTCTTTGTGTCTGTTCCATTAGCACAGTATTTTGTGCTCAGGAAAAAAAAACCCTTTAAACACCATCTAGTGACGTCAAACCATCTTTCTCATTTGTTATTGTTTCCCAGTAGATAACAAATGATATTTCCCCTTAAATGAAGCTTCTCAAAGCGATCTCATCTGATGTATTTTGCCCAGGCGCCATCGCTGCCCTCATAGGCCCACAAGGATTTATGATAACAGACAACAGCTGTGCCTCACAACAGAATATGTGGAAAAATACCCCAAGTATAGCAACATCTCTCCTGCCCGCAGCCTTAAGCCAAAACAAGAGTACCAAGCACATCGTGGGAAAATGGAAGGAATTACAACATTTAAGTAAGCATTTTAAAGCAATGTATTTTACTATCACTTTATAATATTTCTCATATTTTCTCTTTGAAGGGAGGGGAACACTGAGCTTTGTATTGCAATTTTCAATCATTGCACCCCTTACTCCTTCAGTGTATGTAAAAGCAAAGTTTAGAGTGTAGGTTTATAATTACCCCAAAGAGATGATAAAACATAATAAAGCATGTTTACAAAAAAGTCAAAGAACCATACTCAGAAAGCTCAAACTCTTCTGCAAAGTTGTTTGTGTACTGCATGTACTGTTTATACACCTATATATAATACACACCCATTTTTTGTATTGTGCTTGTATGAAAATTACCCATGAGATCCACAGTGAAATGCTCTCTCTTCATATTCCATTCTCTTCATGCAAGAGGTAAATGTTGCTACCTGTAGTAGTTGAAGTTTGCTCTGTTCCTGCTTTATGTATTATTTCTTTGTAAAAATATAGTTTTACAATTCTACTCTCAAATATTTTAAAGAATATTTTTAATCTGGGGATTGAGGCTTGAAGTGTTGAATAAGCTTCTTCATCATTTACGTTTGAATAAAGATGATACCTTGCACTGGACAGCCTAGATTTATGTGGTATCATTTCCTTTCTTCCTTACTGCTCTCTAACACATTGACTGATCCATTTTTTCAGAGCAAACATTGTAAGTTGTTTTTCCACACAATGGGAAATGACATGGGTGACATCATGAGCAAAAGGTATTTTAACTGGTATTTTCCTCTTCCTCAATTCAGATCTGATTATTTACCATATGATATTGTGAAACGACCGTTTCGGGTACAAGAAGAATATAAACCAAAGACTGGAGAGCTAGAACTTGGAACCACATACAAGAAAGATTATTATGCTCATGAAATACAGCCGGTGACATTAGTAAGACCTTTAGAGAGAAAACACACTACAGGAGGAAAATTGGATACCATACCGACCTATCAAGGTAATAACAAATGCCATCTTTAGAAAGAAAAGTTGCCAAAGATGAAGGTAATTTCCTGAGTTTTCTATACTAGAGATGTGAAACTGGATTTCTTAGTTTGGGCCAGAGAGTAGGGCATAATAATAGAAGGTGACGATGCTTTAAGATGTTCAGCCCTCCAGCTGTTCAGAGCTGTCAGTTACAAATTCTAAAAGAAAAGCTATCTCTGGGATTCTTTGGCTAGGAGACTCTGACACACATTTGTTAGGCTATCTCAGACATAAGTTTGCTATCATTAAACTCACAATGTATCTTTCAGTTTCAACTATGGTAGCACAGTTTTTTTCCACAGGTCAGAATATTTCAGATTTCCTTCTCCTGTATTATCTAGCTTGCATATTATCCTATTAATAATCTGTCTTGACAAAAATTATCCTAATAGACTCAGTGCAGACACTAAATCTGTGTTAATATCATTCTGGCGAGTGACCTTGACATACTTTATAAAGGTGTAAAAGTTTTTACATACAATGTTTAACTCAATTTGTTACATGTAATGCAGCCAGACCCTAGATAAAAGCGTGTAAAAATAAAGGATGAGATGTGATCTACAAGAGCTGCCAACCAGTAATCTAAATAAATAAATAAATAAACAAATAAAATCAAGATATTCTTGGCTGTCAGGACCACTGTTGTTGAAAAGACATAGCAAGAGATAACAACAAACTGATACAGCCATTAAAACAGGAAGTTAGAACATTTGGTGGAGAAAACTTACTGAGTTTGCATAACATTTTTTTTTTTTATTTGAGGAAATAGTCAAAATAAGGCATCAAACACATTTTTTCCCATTTTTGTGAAACTATTAATAGAAGACAGGTTTGTCACATCACAGAGATAACATTATTCTAACTCACACCCATTTTCTTTAGTTCGCAAGCCTTAGTACCAGAAGTTGTCTTAATTTCAAAGGAATGTTCCTAAGAAATAACACTTATATGGTAAAGTTTTGTTTTTGCCTTAAAGATGACTATAGGTCATGGGAAGTTCAAAGAAGGGAACCTGTTAAAGTGGATCATGTCTACCACCCACCTACAGAGAAATTTGGAAATCCTACTACTTTTCAAGATGACTTTGTTCTTAGGGAACTGAATCCTAGACAAAGTTTCAAACCTCTGTGTGTGCCCAAACTTTCAGATGTGCCTTTTGATAGCACTACGAGTCATCGCAGTTCCTATGTTGCTCATTGTCTGGAACCAAAGTTTGTAAAATCAAAAGAAGAGTACAAGCCAAGCAGCCAACCCTTTGAAGATCTCACAACTCACCGAAATGATTTTAAAGGGCTACCTGGGCCACTTGCAAGAAGCTACAAGCCCGAAAATGCGAAAGTCCAATCCAGTGATCATTTTAGTGGAGTCACTGAATTCCAGGATCGTTTTCAGCCCTGGCCGGTCTCCTTGCCTGAGGCACGCAAATCAAAAGAGTACGTTCCTCCCCCAGGTAACATGGACTTCAACTCCACAAGCCGCCTTCATTATGTTAAACATGAGATTTCTCCTGCTGTCCCTGTAAGGCCGATTTCTAATGCAAGAAGAACCAGCGCCCCTTTCCAAGGGAATACTACTATGAAGGAAGACTTTAAAGCTTGGGCCAGATCCCGGCAAGAAATTATTAAGAAACAACAAGAAATTCCAAAACCCGCAGGAAAATTCTATGATTTAACTACATTCAAATCTCATTACATACCACATCGCATCGTTCCAGCCCGAAGTTTCAAACCTGTGCACGTCGTTCTTCCTAATTCGGCTCATTTTCGGGATGAAACTATGTATCGCACAGAATATACACCAAAGAAACAAGAGATCTGCCCAGCAAATTACACATCTCCTCCAGGTTATATCTATGTAAACACAGATTCTCATGGTCATAAGTTCTTCCGACAGCTTACTCCAGAATTTTCTGAGTTAAATAGTAATCACATTCCAAAGGAAGTAGCTGTTGTGTCATAATACGTACATCGCAAGCATCCTGGTGAAATACCTGGAGTGCCACCAGTTTGTTTTTTCTTCAAATTACATCAAAGCAACCTAAATAATGCAGATTTTGATTTGAAAAGCATTTAGACTGATAATTGAAGGAAAATCAAGTCAAACCAAAAGATTATTGAAATACTTCTGCAGATTTGCCTGTTTTTGTCGGAGTAATCTTACATGGAATCAAGATCACAATCTTTCTTGATTGTGCATTCCCAGATTTCATTCTATTCCCTCTCAAACTTACTTTCCCATTTTTTAATGATTTTCTGCAAGTCAAATCATTGTAGTTGCATTTTTTAAATAGTAGTTTGCTTTTCAGAATAATCAAATAAAATGTTGAATAATAACGTGCACATCTCAGTTCTTTATCTCATCAATACGTTGAGTGATCTGATAAGAGCTTTATTTTTCTTTATAGTTTGTTGGCCAAGTTATGTTGGGCATTTCTAGATATTCCTTTAAAACAATGGGTTTAGTTTTGCCATGATTGCTTCACCTGAAGCAATTCTGAATCTAAAGGTCCCACTGTAATTTCTGACAGTGATTAACAAGAACTAACCTTGCTCTTTCTGTACATATACTTGAAATCACTGACTCAAAGCAGGCCATTAGACTCCTCTTCCTAATTTTCCAGATACACTTTTCCAGATCCTGAACCCACATAGTTATACATGCCTACATGTTCTACTGGCAGCAGCTTCTCCTCAGGGTCTGTAAGCAAGACCCAGGTGCATTGTGTAACTTTCACAGCTGGTTTTGCAGTACCCAAGTAATTTATTCTTTTTCCCCTTAATTTGTGGGAAGTCATTTGCTGCCACCTACCAGCATGTCACAAAGAAATTTTGAGAGCAAATGGAGGGCACATTCAGGCACATTTAAGAGCTCCTGTACAGATGTGTATGGTAACTTCTTTTGGTTGAAGGAGATATATTCTACTTTTATCCTTGAATTTTTCCCCCTAAATTTCAAAGTATGAGAAAGTACCCTTATTACATTACAGTAGAAAGACCACACCCTGAAGATTATGCTTCCAAGAAAAACATCAAATGATATTACAAACCTTCAGACACTATTCAAATACTTAAGGTTAACCTTCATAAGCAAGATATTATCAAAATACACACAAAATAAACAGCGGGCTGGAAAACTAATGTTCCTCAAGAAATAGTTGTTAAAAGAGTATTTTATGATATCATGCTAACACATGTAAGTGAAAGTTACTTGTGGATTCAATAGCTGTTCTAGAAGTGCTTATCATACACTATGCTACACAGTATTTTTTTTTCTTTCGAAGACTATAGAGAGTTAGTGAAAAAATCGAATCAAATCAAATCATGCCCCTTTGCAAGTGCTACAATCCAGGATAATTCTACAATACCATTTAATTGTTAGGCATTTTCAACTTACAAAAATTATGGAAGCATAATGCGATGGAAAGTGCAGCAACCACAGCAGAGTAGCGAAGTCCTGGGCTGTAGCTAGCAAGAGCTTGCTCTGATGTGACAGCCGTGGACACAGAAACAAAATAAAGGAACTGCTTACCCTTAGAAAGTCTCAAGTAGAGAGGAATCTCCAGCAAGATGCTTCACCTCCACTGCCAGCCCTTGGATGAAATCTGGGAAGTGGTGGATCCTGGCTGCACCCCTTCCACTCACTCGGATGCATTGCACTGCATGCACCTGAGCTCCCCTGGGTTGGCCCTGCCTTCCCACCAGGTGCTTAATTACTGTTTCAAGCTGACTTAGCATTTCCACTACAGGAACTGTCCTTTCTAAAGGCTATTACATATACTGGAGATTCTGAAATAAATTTATTCATATTGCTATTGCCACTGTCCACCAAATATAAAACATGGAGGTGTTCCACTGGTCTAAGTGAACACTTTGATGCAGTACATGAAGCCTGACGAAGAAACCTAACTTCTTTCCACCTTTTTACAGAATCCTTATTCTAGATTTCCATGAATTAAAGCTGACTGTTCAAAGCTGGGTAACATCTCTGCTGCTTCTTAACAGATGTGCAAAGCTGAGAACAGCTGTCAAAAGTAAGAATTAAGCCGTGAAAATCCCAGAATGATGGACATGGACAGAGTAACCCTTGGAATGAAAGCATGACTAACGTGAAAATCATAGCAATAAAGAATCTCTGAGTAATCAGGGTGTTGAATAATCAAAGTAGAGTTTATTTCAGAAATATCAAAACTACGCTCAAGAAAGCAAAGTATTAGACACCTTCAGTTACTGCAGAAGCAATAAAATAACATACAAAGGAATGTCATGCCAAGTGCAATAACAAACATTTACAGCACTGCTTCTGTATAGCATGCATATGTAACCAGAGACAAAATTAAAGCAACAAAAGAATGCTATATGTTAACATCTGAGAACTTTAAATATAAAGGAAAAATATGAATAAGAAATTTTGGTAATAAGAAAAAATATATGTCCAAAAATCTTTATTAAACACTGTACAAAACAAAATATTGCACTTTAAATCAGACAATAAATATCTACAAAAAGTATATTACAAAATGTTTTGTTTGTTTGTTTGTTTGTTTAATTTAAAAAAAAAAACAACAACAAAACTGCTTAATAATCAAGACCCATCACTGATTAAAGGTAATGATCAGAAATATCCTCTCCTTGCAGTCAGCCCTGGACACAATAGTCCATATTAAAACATTTTCTATACAGTAGTGCTAGTCTAATTTTCAGTGATGCAAACCCATAGTGCAGGAATGCTGCTTCTAAAATTGTTCTGACAGCACCTGCACTAATTAAAATGTAGTGTGGTTCAGTAATGTAACGAAAGATCCAAGTCTAGACTCACATTCAGGCTTCCAAGAAGCGCAGTAGTGTGGGAACTACATTAAAAAAAATAAAATAAAATAAAATAAACCTATCTGCTGCCTTCTGTGGGGTTTTCTGTGCTTACAGCCCAAATGAGACAATTTGCAATACAGAAAATAACATATCCAGAAAAACCATAACCAGAATTCATCTTGCAAAGATTGACGTGGTTAACGGTCATGATAAAAATTCATCTTGAAGGAAAACTGCTCAACACAGATTTTTTGCACTTCTCTATCTTCATAATTAGTAATTCTTCCTTGGGCATTTTTCCCTGTTCATAAAGTGTTTACCGAAGACAGAAAATCTGACAGGCATGTTTGGCTATTTGTTGGCTCCCCGTTTGACTGTGATAGGGAACAGTGCTCACAAATGTTTAATTCACAGCTCTGACAAGGAAGCCTTGTGTCTAATTCAAAATCAGTAGCAAAGTCTAACCGTGCCAGAACTTTGATTGTACTTCAGTGACTGAGCAGAAGAATAGAAACAATAGATAATGACACTTCATTTTTCAAAACAGATCTATTGCTGTTTTGAAAACTGTACTGACATCTACTTCGTCTACAAAACAAAAATTCCTAATTCAAACATGGAGATGTTTAAAACATTAAAAGTTTCATTGTAAAGAGTGGATAATAAAAGTTCCTGGAAGAAGTACCCTGCCCAGCGTATCAATCTGCAATACTGTTTTTTTCATTAGCCCCAAGTTTCCATTTAACTGTTATGACTAATGTCTTATTTACAGGTATATAATTGGAGCAGGATAGTTCAATGAACTTCTCATCTCTTCACTGCAGTATCACGAATTTTCCACAGAAGAGTTACATTTCTTGACATGACTGACAACATCTTTGTTTGTAGACGTCTATCAAGCATAACCTCAGTTGCTTTGCAAATGTACAGTAGTGAGTTGTATCCTTGCATTCATCTTCTGAAAAATATATTTGAACATTAAAAAACTTTGAAAATGAACACAAGATGAATAGCAGAAATCATCACAACAACCAATGGATACTGGTAGCTTTGTAATTATTTTACTTTACATTTCTGACAACAGCTAAAGTAGGTCACACATAAGTGGTGTGATCTCACTGCATTCATTTCACAGAACCCCACCTTCCAGGAATTAACAGCTTGCTCAGAGATTCATGAATGACTCACAGCTGGCAGTTGTAAGGGAAGTTTGCATAAAACAACTTCCTACAAATCCTGCTTCTAGAAGTGCTTTTGAGGCTTTAATATCAAACTGCCCTAGTCATGGAGACAACTAACCCCAGCATTATCAAGTGCAGCTTGGAGAGTTTAGTTTTACCTTTGAGATGTACAATCAAATGCTTGCAGAATCACTAATGCACAATTGTGAGGTGCTTTCTAATATAAGTGCTGGAAACTATCGCTATGCTCAGATAGAAATAAATATTTACATACTGCCACAGGCTGTGGCACTGCAGTGCTGCCAGCTCACTGGTCTCTTTTTCCATCCACAATACTGATCGGCCACAACTTTGTTATTCTTTCTGTGTACACAGTACACTCGTCTAGACTGAAATCCGCTCCCACACTGCACACTGCAAGGCCTCCAAGGCCCCGTCCGCCAGTAGACATCGCATACTTCTGAGGAACAGTTTCTTCTGACAGCAGATCTGTGGGGAGAAACAAATGGCAGTTGAATGCTTATTTTGACGCTAAACCCTTATACGCAGAATCATACGATTATGGAAGGGACTTCTGCAGATGTTCCAGTCCAAGCCTGCTGCTCATCACACAGTAAACTAGACCAGGCTGCTCATCTCTTGTCTGTTTTTCAGTGTGTCTGAAGGTGGAGACCCTACAACCTCTGTGCAGCCTCTTCCAGTATTAAGAATCCTCAAAGTCATTTTTTTTTCCTTAAGTTCAATTTCCTGTACTTCACATACTGCCCATTCATCATAGAATCACAGAATCATAGAACAGCCTGGGCTACGTGCAGGGTTGCCAACCACATCATGCCTCACTCATGACAAAAGAGAAGCTTCTGCTCATTTAAACTGAAACCTGAAATAGAAAAAATGTTTTACCTTTTGGAAATTTTTACTGACCCCGAAAGCCTGTATATTGGATGCTGCAGGTGCTTTAAGGGTTTAAGCTTTAAGGCTCCTGAACACAAGTAATATTTCTATGCTGACAAAGAACCCTCTTAAATGTTTGAAGCTGCCAAAATGAAATCCTGGCTTATACTTGTGAACGGAAGTTTCATCATTTTAATCTGTGAAGCCCAAATTTCTTTCTACATCCTTCAAAAATGGTCTGAAATGTTCACAACTCAGAAGTAGGTCTATAGTAAAAAGTATGAAGAGCTGGTTTCTATAATCAAGGGACAATGCCATGTATGTACTTGATACCGAGTCACTGTTTGTTCTTCACTGCCCTACCTATGCTAGGTTTTTTTTCCCCAGA